TAAGATGAAGACCTACATATCATGTATCAACGTCGATTACGAATCGTCCCGGGTTGAGGATTTCTGGGACATACAATTGAACGTAAGCGGGAACAAGAACCTGGACGACAGCTTCAAAGACTACGTGCAGGTCGAGACCATGGACGGCGAAAATAAGTATTTTGCAGAGGGTTTTGGGTTGCAAGACGCTAAAAAGGGTGTCATCTTCGAAAGTTTTCCGCCAGTGCTACATCTCCAGCTGAAGCGCTTCGAATACGACTTTACGCGCGACGCCATGATGAAGGTGAACGACCGTTACGAATTCCCCGAAGTGTGGGACGCTGCGCCATATCTCTCCGACGGAGCCGATCGATCCGAATCCTGGATATACCACCTCCACGGCGTCTTGGTTCACAGCGGTGATCTCAACGCTGGTCACTATTACGCCTTCCTGAAGCCAACGAAAGACGGCCACTATTACAAATTCGACGACGACCGTGTGACTCGAGCGACACTACGTGAGGCGCTGGAAGAAAACTTTGGTGGTGACTACGCCCAGGCCAACGGGAACACTGGCCAACGCAATCCCTACACCAGAGCCTGGTCCGCAAAACGCTCAATGAGCGCCTACATGTTGGTATACATTAGGGAGACGAGGCTTGATCAAGTTCTTATAGACAGCAAGGCGGTAGAACCACCGAAGCATCTGGCAGAACGACTGGCTGAAGAACGGGCATTGTTTGAGCGCAGGAAGAAGGAACGCGAGGAAGCTCATCTCTACATGGACGTTGCGGTCGCGTCAGATGAACAGTTCAAGGCCCACCAAGGTTTTGACATCGTTCCATGGAAAGCCGACGCAGACACACCTGCTAGCCCAAGGGTCTACCGTGTGCTCCGAAGTACAACTATGGCCGACTTTGCGGTTACGGTCGCCCAAGATCTAGGAACCGAAGCCGATATGTTGCGGCCATGGTCGATGGTTAATAGACAAAACGGCACAATTCGCCCCGATACCGCATTGGAATTCCCGGAGATGACCGTCGAAGAGGCTGCAAGCAAACATGGCACGAAACAGTCGCAGTTCAGGATGTGGATCGAGAAAGCTCAAGAACGCGACGAAAGCGGCGCGCCAGTGTTTGGCGAGAAGCTAGTGGACCTCAAGGGTCAGGCTAACAACCGCCCATTGATGATATTTTTGAAGCACTTCGACGCAGAAGAGCAAAGTCTATTCGGTGTTGGCACCTTCTACGCCGGATTCCAGGACAAGGTTTCCGATCTAACTCCAGCAATCACAAAGATGCTGGGCTGGCCAGCAGGTACGCAGATCAAGCTTTCTGAGGAGATCAAACAGAATATGATCGAAGCGATGAAGCCAAAAGTCACACTGGCAGCTTCGGAGATACAAGATGGTGACATCATCACGGTCCAGCGCGTACTGAGCGACAAGGAAACCGCACAGATAACCACTGCGGGAGGCTACACCGAGGCAAAGGAATTCTACGACTACCTCTTGAACAGAGTCAGCATCGAGTTCGTGCCTAAGCTGCCTGATACAGATCTACCCACATTCTCCTTGACTCTCAGCAAAAAGATGGCGTACGACCAGTTCTCCAGCAAGGTGGCTGAGTACCTCAAAACCGACTCTAGCTATATCCGCTTCTCGACGGTTAGCACTGCTGGCAAGCCTAAAAACCCTGTCAAGTACAACCCCACGTCAACTTTGAACAACATCCTCTTCCCTGGCCCATACAACTATTCGGCAAGCGCAAATCAGCGAAACGATGCCCTGTTCTACGAGGTCTTGGATATGAGTCTGAAGGAATTAGAGCTGAGGAAACCTGTAAAGGTGGTGTGGCTCCCTGAGGGTCTCAGCAAAGAGGTGAGTTGAACACAGTGATTGCTTTTGCTTCAAACTAACGTCATACAGGAGGAGCACGTTTTGATGGTACCCAAGAATGCCCAAGTTGCGGATCTCGTTGAAGCGCTGCAAAAGAAAGCGGGCATCAGCGACGAGGTGATGCAAAAGGTGCGGGTCTACGAGGCACATGTGAACAAGTTCCACAGGGTTCTCCCGCCAGATCACTCTGTCATGAGCCTCTACGACTACACTTCAATCTTTGCTGCGCCTTACCCCGAAGACGATGCATCGAAGAAGATTTCGGTATTCCACTTTGACAGGGAGCCATCGAAGGCGCATGGTATCCCGTTCCAGTTTGCGCTGAAAGAGGTACGCGCAGCCATCAGCCTACCTCCTCTACTTGCACTAATATACATCAGGGCGAGCCTTTTAGCGAAACAAAACAACGACTCTCAGACTTCACCAAGATCAAGGGCAAGCAGTTGGACAAGATCAAGTTTTCTCTTGTCGGCAAGGGTCAATACGCGAAGCCTGAGCCAATCGATGACGGTAAGCCACTTTGGCAATGGTGATATTGCAGCACTGACGAAGTCACAGATGAAGTACTTTGGGACTTGGTAGGTGCGCGTGACGATGTATCACTTGGTCTTGAACACCCCGCCAAGACAAAGACGCTTTGGGGAAAGACTGATTCCATCTTCATTCGTTGAAGCAGCGCAATGACTGTGTAAGATACGAAGAAAAGCACGGTGCGTAACATTACTCGGCACGGGTACGATCGGCATGAGATTGTCCGCAAAGTTTTGCCAGCGTTTCACAGGGAGTGGCAATAAAGCGTTGGTTGCGCACCCTTCAACATACATGGCGCAATGGAGCTTGAAATATTGCAAGTATTGCATAGGCGGAGTAGCGTGCGTGGGAGGTTGGCGCAGGCGTTGGGCACATGATTATGGCGTATCATTTTGGATCAGTAAGTAAGCAGTGTAGATTAGCCCAAAGATATCATCATTCTGCTTTCATGTCACCAGTGTAACTTGCACTGTGGTTGTCGACTGAATTTTCCACCCATCCCATGGTACCAGACACTAGCCACCTATCCGGGAAGGAACAACGTAGCAATATACCACGGCTTTCGATTCTGAAAATAAATACAAAAACTATTAGCAGTCGCAATAGGTTCATATGAACGCGCAACATGATAAGTGTGACTTGACTACGCGTCGAGGATCTGCATTTCGCGCTACCTGTCCGCGGTCGCCTTGATCTTCATTGGCTGGTGGCTAGTTCCCCGCGCCTTCCCTCCCTGCATGCGTTGCGTCGGCAAAAACTACCGCCGACGTTCGATGTCGACAGCTGTAACTTCCAACACACGAGCACGCATCAACAATCGCAGTCGTCCACGCCAACGAACACGATGCGGTCACTACTCACCCTCTTCAGCGCGTTGCTGGCATATACCACGGCTGTGTACGCAACCGCTCTCACCTACCGATTAGAAGCACACGAGAAAGCATGCTTCTTCGCGACCGTTGAGAACAAGGGGACCAAGCTGGCCTTTTACTTTGCAGTATGTGTTCCACCCGGAAGACCAATGCGCAATTGCTTTCGGGCTGTTCAAATCCACATTGTCATACAGTGATAGCAGGATCCAAGGACAATCGAGCTGACGGACATGTGAACAGGTGCAATCCGGAGGCTCTTTCGATGTCGACTACTCGGTTGTCGGCCCCACAGACAAAGTCATTCTCGACGGCACCAAGGAGCGACAGGGCGATTTTGTCTTCACAGCGCTTGACGTGGGCGAATACCGTTTCTGCTTCAACAATGAGATGAGCACTTTCGCCGAGAAGATGGTCGATTTCGAGATCGCCGTACGTACCACCTGGCTACATCTCTCCAGACATCGCCGAACCATAATGCTGACTCCATGTTCTTGCAGGTTGAGAACGAAGCCGCCCGCGCCAAAATCCCATCCAAGCAGGGCTCCTCCCCCGAGCAGACCTCTGTCCTCGAAGAGTCCATCCTCAAGCTCTCCGCGCAACTCTCCACCATCTCCCGCAACCAGAAATACTTCCGCACGCGCGAGAACCGCAACTTCAGCACCGTCAAGAGCACCGAGAAGAGGATATTCAACTTCAGTTTGATGGAGTCGGGCTTGATTATGACCATGGCAGGACTGCAGGTCTTCATTGTCCGCTTCTTTTTCCAGGGCGCCAGGAAAGGTATTATATGACAGCTCTCTCATCATGAGAGGAGTTTGGGGCACTGTGGGCTGACGCGTGTTGGCAGGCTACGTATAGACGCTGGTCCACGTTCAAGACTGGGGCTCAACCATGGTTCGGACTGGAAGTCTGAAGATGTCATATTGATTATTGTCACACAGGTCGAGACGAGCGCACTTTGTTTGATTTACCTATTTTGGGCGCTTTGGGGCTGCCGGAGTGTGTAAAACACCGCGGCATCTTTGTGGTATTCTGGCGCACTAGCAAGTTTACGAGAATTTTGGAACGATGTGCAAGAGCCATCCGCTTGTTAACACCCTTGGATTCGATACAGCATGTGCTGACAAACGTGCCTGCATTGCCCGTCCCTACGCGAACCCGCACGCATTCTAAGTCGCTCCAGAGGCCCGTGCTCCCGCTCTCACTTTCCCGCATACTAGCTCAATATCGATATCGTTGGAATCGTCAGTCTCGCAGGATTATTATATGTAGGTCTCTTTGCGACTAATTATTTCTTCAACCTCCTGGACGCTGTCAGACTCATGGGATGTCGGCGTTAAGGGACTTGATCACTGGACCCTGAATTCTTTGGTCGACGACTACCGGGCAGCCAGTAGCAGCGCGGCCATTGCTATTCCCTCTCACTCTCACTTGTCCTTTCGCTTCTATTGTGGTCGGCCGTCCGACTGAGTCACCTGTTCTCGCAATATCTCTCGCTCCGTTCGGTTAGGTGAGCGTGGTAATGCGCACACAGAGGCCATATAGTCTGGCTTTTTCCGCCTTGTCACCTTCTTTCAACTCAAACTCTCACATCCCACCATCTTGACTATCACAGCCCTCTATTTTGATCCCCATCACCCACAACTTGAGTATTTTCATCCGCTACTCTCATCTTTACAACCCTTGACCTTTGCTCTTTCGGCCCACACCAGTTGCTCGTCATGGCAGCAAACGACGACACCGTCAGGCGGGATTCCGTGAATAGCTACACCAGCGGTCCGCAAACCCCACAGGGCGCACTCGGTCGCTATCAGACTCAGTCACCGCACGATCCCGCGATGGCCTTTCCTCTTCAAGCGCAGCTGCCGACTCCCAAGATGAGCCCGCAGACGCGCCAGCAAATGAGTCCGCAGATGATGGCCGAGTACATGCGCCGTCAGGCCATATCAACTCAATCACAGCCGCGCCCGACCACTATGCAAGCGCAGCCTCCCACTCGCGAGGAAGCTCAGGCACGTCAGAACCGCCAGTTTGCCCTGTTTGGAATGGCCTATTTCCAGAGGTTGGACCCGCAGGCAAAGCAACAGTTTCAACAGTTGCCTTCCCAGAAGCAAAACGAGATCGTTAGGAACGCAATCGAGCAACGTAAACAGCAAGAGATTCACAAGGCGCGCGGGCAGCAGATGGCGGCGCAGCAGGCAAAGCAACAGGAAGCGCAACAACTGGCAGCGCAGCAACTGGCAGCGCAGCAACTGGCAGCGCAGCAACTGGCAGCGCAGCAACTGGCAGCGCAACAGCTGGCAGCGCGACAGGCACACTTCAACAGATTTACACAGCAATACATCAGCTCGTTCAGTCCTGAGAAGTTGCAACGATTCAGACAGGGTTCCGGAACACAGCAAAAGCAGCATCTTTGCGATGTCTACAAGCAGATGCAAAACGCGCAGAAGCTACAACAGCAGAAACTGCAACAAATGCAGCAGCATCAACCAGCCGGGCAGCTACAGCAGGTGTTGCAGCCGCAACAGCTCGCGCAACAACCTCAACGTATTCTGCAAACTCCAAAAGTACAGCAACATCGACAGCTGCAGTCGCCACGTATTCCGCAAGCTCCACAAGCTCAGCCACATCGACAGCCGCAGGCGCAACGTATTCTGCAAGCTCCTCAAGCTCAGCAACATCGACAGCCGCAGGCGCAACGTATTCTGCAAACTCCACAAGCTCAGCAACATCAGGAGCCACAGCCACAACGTATTCAGCAAACACAACCGGCGCCTCAGCTGAAAAGGCCTCGTTCTGACGACGATGAGGCCAGCCCAGCCACCAAGGTAGCCAAGTTCGCGCAGCCAACTACAGAGGATGCAGACGATCAGAGACTCACGTCTGAGCTCACAAGCTGGCTCGCATCCGAGAAGGCTGAGGAAGAAGCTCAGATGAGTGAAGAGTCTGCGGAGTTGCGCTGGCAGATGAAGCACGCTGGCCCTTACGCCGGCTATGAACCTGCGAAATCAAACATCCCCGACAACTCCTTCTAAGACTACATCACCACATTCGTTCGAGGCACGCTTGGACAACCTCATGGCAGGCCGACACACCTCACTCTCACACTATTGTCGTTTCATTACAAGACATCCTGATCGGCGTCTGGATACCTCGTGGTCTTTGCATTCGGTGTTTGGCTGCAGGATTACCTCGCAGTCTTTGCATTCGGTGTTTGGCTATAGGATATCTTGACCAGCATCTGGACACACTTCTACTCTTTGCATACGGCGTTTGGTTATCTGCATCACATTACCACACTGGGCGGACACGGTTCATGGAAGAACACAGCAAGGCGTTTGGTTATTCGCATTACGATACCATACTGGGCGGAAACAGTTCACGGAAGAACAAAGCACGGCGTTTGCTTTTCTTCGTTTTCCTTGATCCTTCTTCTTTTGCGTTTACTTCTGCGTTCGACGACATTACCATCACACATTTCACGGGCTGCATCATTGCTAGTAGCGTTTGCAGCTTTGTGGCTAAGCGACGCGAACGGAGTTGCATGTTCATCATCATCACCACTATCAACGCGGCCGCTTGACGTAAAGGGCGCTATTATCAACACGGAAACGGGGGAGGAAGAAAAAGACCAGAAAATATACGATAAAACATCCATTACATATTACTCTGCTGTGACTTGCATTCCCGTCTTCTTGAAGCTTCACTGACTTTGGCTAAACTCGTCGTGGTCCACCACCCTGCAGATCACAAGATGGCCAATGAACGCGCCCTACCACCCCTCGTCCTCTTGCCCATCGTACTCGCCCTCTCTTTGTTCGAAATCGCGTACGCGGCCAGCCTTGCTGCTTACGCTACTCACTACATCGCCGTGCGCATGCTACTCTATACCCAGGATTATCTACATCCGGGTCAGCTAGACAGTGTCGGTGGTGTGTCACGGTTTACGAATGTGGATAGGGGTCTGATTGCGTTTTGGTTACCTGTTGTAATAGTATTAATCTTCAGGCTGTTTGTGATATGGGAGAGGCAGTTAGAATGAGACAGCAGTAGCAAGATGGATTAGGATTGGAAGAGTGTTGGGGAGGATGCCGTTTGATGAGGCTGTTGTTGATTGCTTGACATTATCAAATAAGTGTGTTAAATAACAAGTGTTACCGGGCCAGCATGACATAAAACGATGTACACGAGCAAGTGGTATGAGCCTAGACGGTTTCAGGCAGACGGGGACGATCTGCTGCTAGAAAACTGTGTGTAGTGTGATCTAGCGAACAACTCTGATATGCAATGTCAACCAAATTTCGGGTGTCCATCAAACACTCTAGGATGCTTTCGTTCTCTCGTGTGTGAGGAGGCAATTTGTAGACGTGGCTTACGAACGCAGCAATCTAGTCCAGCGCATCTGACTTGGAACGAGTATATAACAAGAGCATCCAGTAACCTGAGCAACGAAATTACTCGTGTCCTTCCCTGGCTCCTACGACATCATCATCCAACATGCGGTCAACGTACTTCCTTATCGAGCAAACCGAGCTTCACAATTTCCTTCGTGAACTGGATGCTTTGCATTCCTGGGCGAGGAACATGGCAGGCCTCAGCACGTCCATCACGGCGCAAGCCCCGCTGGGAATGCCCGCAGCCCGACCAGGACCGCTTTATTATGGAATCGAACGTCCAAGACGGCCCGACCCATTTGCCGCTTCAGCTTGGTATACACCTTCTGAGGATGGATACCGTACAGCTCCGCCAGCTCCAAGGCGACAGGCATTCCAGCATAATCAAAACTTCAACCAACACTTTTATGGAATGCGCCAAGGATATGAGGGTTTCGAGTACGGGGAGCCCGTGCACATGGAACCTGAGGTTCGTCCACCTCCACCTGGTTTAGAAAGCCAAGGTCCAAGTTCGATGGGTATGTCTGGGGATCAATCAGGGTGTGCAATACGTGAAAGGCGTGGAGCACCGGGCATGCCATGGCAGGCACCTCTGAAGAACGGACCACATCGTACGCCTGTAATCACTCGGGTGCCAGATAACTCACACACGCCACAAAGAGGGTCGATGTTTGTCAGGCGGCCGCGTCGGGAAAGGCCGCAGAGGAATGCGGAGAATGCGGAAGCCATGGACGATGAAGCCGAGGATAGTGAGGTTGAGGAGTATGTTGAGGAAGAGGACGACCGGGTGGTTGGTGATGAGCGGGAGGCTCGCTAAGGTGATTTCGTTCCATAAATGGGGGATGGATGGTGGACGCTTCGGAGGCGGTCATAGCATTAGCGCTGCATCTACATTGTCAGCTAGTACAGGTTGCTTGTCGAGGAAAGTACGTACCGATGCTGCTAGGCTTTGCCCTTCTACACAATGTGAAATGTGCGAAGGTTAGATGCAGTATTTTGCCTATTGGATTTGACAAGTTCAGGTATCCAGCAGTCGCCGACGACCGTCATAGCCGGATGCTGAGGTGGTCCCATGTTCCCTTCCACCTGCTTGATATCCTGTTCAATCTTGAGAGGACGTAGTGCCATCATGGAGTCGCATCCTGGCATGTTCACAACGTAGTCGCCGACCTGTATTGTGCTTGGTCCTAATCCGAACAGCCCAGCACTTGTGAAAAAGCACGAGCGGCCCTCCTTTGTGTGGGCGAGGCCCATCCTGTTTGCTTCGGATAACAGGCGTAAAACGGGTTTCCTATTCCTATTTGATTTTTCGTATGAATTCCAACGACGGAGTATGTTTTCCCAACGAGATCGCAGCTGTGCTTTGTAAGGAGAGGGATGCGGATCCGCAACATCGTCTTCGATGGGTATCACCTTCAGAGCACAATACAAGATCATTGCATCCATCGATTTCTGCTCTGGCGTACCGATGGCGTGATGTTGGATGAAGTAGTTACCCCATCGGTACAGGGTCCTCTCTTCTGTCTCATGTTCGGGTCCTGGCGGATCTACGACACTATCGACGACGCCACCAAAGGTTGCCTGTATCGTGAGCAGGCTATTTTCAACGGTAACCAATGACACCCCTACTGGCAGAGTTGAGCATTCGTACTTGAGAGATGACTGGAAAGGCCTGTATCGCATGGGTAACCTCCAATCCGGGACCCATGAAGCAGCGAGTCCACCGAAGGACCCAGCGCAGCTCATGATGGCCATTGGAAATCGGATCACTTCGATCTTGCTCAACCGATCATAAAGCTCGTTGACTGAGACTTGGTAGTCGACTACAATTGATGTTGAACTGAGACTTCGTAGTGCATAGATTCTGTCGCGATCATCTGCACATCTGGTAGTAGAGAACCGTGTCAAAAGTGTCGTCATATTTTCGGCTCCAGCTACAATACGATCCGTTTGGGCACCGGTAGTATTTTCATCGCACTGAGACAGCTCGTCAGACTTGGTATCTCGTACTGCAGTGAGATTGCTCAAGCGATGCAAGATTGCCGTAAAATGTGGTGTCACTGCTTCGTAGGAAACGTTCTGTTCCAGATGTTCGACAAAGACACGGAACTGCTGCCACTGCATTGTGCCACTACCCGAAATGATGTAGGCTTCGCGGGCATGCATGATCTCTTGGACTACCCAGCGCCTCGTAAACCATCCGGTCTCAAAGAACTGCATGAAGCGAGCTTCCCCATCGCGCGTGTATTCTATCTTTCGTTCAAAGCTGTGCTGTAGCGCTTGCAAATCGCACCCGGGCTCTCCAGTCCAGATCAGCACACTCGTAGCACATGCGTAGAGTTTTCCCATCACGGTAACCTGCTTTCCTTTCTCCTCGTCGTCCGCTTGATTGATGCATATAGCGTCAATCCACAGGGTTCGGGCAGTGCAATCTGGGGTAATACCGTCCCTCAGGTACCTCAGGATCTGGATAACATTGTGACGGACACGCAAGCGAGAGTTCGCCCCAACGAAGATGTACGCCGAATCTTCATCTGAGCCCCAAGCATACGATAAAGCTTCGTAGCTGACGGGGTCTTGGGTCTTGGAGGCATCGTAAGCCCGTTCGATGATGTCGACGCGTATGGGATCTTCGAAGTGCGCCGCTGGGTACAGCTGTATGAAACGCGTGTTGCCATCGTTTGCGAGTGGTCCGTACTGGTAATCCTGAATAGCCGTCATGTCGCAGACTCTGCGTCGTTGTCGAGGCAATGCTGTCGCGATTGCTGGAGAGAATCAGGCTGGCCTGAGACTTTCGTCCCCTGGTGGAGGGGCTGTGCAAGACACTCATGATTGGCGAACGGCTGCAGCTGAGCTGCTTCCTTTAGGCGGCCACTTATGCGGCGTGGCATTCGTGCGCGCAAGACTCCAGCGAAATGACGGAGACGGAACGAGCATTGCGTAACATCCGACTTGGTTGGGGTAAACTCGTATGACGAGAAGTCGGGAGGACGTCCGTCGCCCCTTCTTTTGACGCGTCTTCCATGCGCGGAATTGTTGACCGCGGATGTGGAGATGGGCGCCTGGGCCATAGCCAGACGCGCTAACCGAATCTGTAGATGACATCACCACACACTTCGGTGCTCGCGCTTTAACGTCTATCCACCTCGGACACATCATGTCAGCAATCGGACTTCGGTGCATACTTAGCTTGTTTTGTATGGATCTGGGGGCCTGAACAAGGCTCCATCAGTGTTGCCAGTCGAACCTTTGTGTATTGGCTCATCGAGCTACACTGGTTGCAGCATAGGAGCACCTCCTTGTCTAGGTATGCATGGGCGGAGCTAGAAGGTTACGACCGAATACCGACCGTATACCTCCCAACAGTGATCTTTCCTCATGTATTTCAAGAGGTATATAGAAGGAAGTCACTCCCAAGTTTTGAAGTGACAATTCAACACGCTTCTGTGTTCCTCACTCTACACCCCTTCGTCCTCACACTTGTCAATATGGCATTGCTATCCAAACTCAAGAACATCGCCGTAGTCGGTGCCAATGGCAACGTCGGTTCATACATTACCTCCGCCCTCCTTGCGAAGAACCATTTTAACGTCACCGCCATCACGCGTACGGAGTCCAAGGCCACTTTCCCATCTGGCGTCAACGTCGCACGCATCGATTACGACAGTCAAGACACCATAGTCAAAGCCCTGACCGGACAAGATGCACTAGTCATCACGATGAGCGTATTCGGTGGTAATGCGCAGGAGAAGCTCATTCGTGGAGCAGCCCAAGCTGGCGTACCATGGATTCTACCAAACGAGTTCGGCATGTACAACACGGAAGAGATCCAGAACGAAACCATTGGGCCTGGCAAGGCGATAGCTCGCAATCTTATCGAGTCGCTCGGAGTGTCCTCGTGGATAGGCGTGACCTCCGGCTTCTGGTATGAGTACTCGCTCAGCGGCGCTTACTTTGGGATCGATATTCCGAAAAGAGAGGTCGTGTACTTTGACGATGGAAAGCAGCGACTGAACACTGCCACATGGCCCCAGACCGGGCTGGCTGTGGCAAACTTGCTATCTTTGCCAGTATCGGCATCTGATGGCAACGGGCCGACGCTGGAGCAGTACCGCAACCGGATGACTTTCGTATCGTCGTTCGCCCTCAACCAACGCGAGATGTTCGAGGCGGTACAGAAGGTTACTGGCACCACGGAGAAAGACTGGAAGATTAAGTCGGAGCCGTTAAAGCAGCGCTTGGCCACTGCTAGGGAGAAGATGATGATGGGTGATCGCATGTCTTTTGCGACAGCTTTGTACACGAGGTACTTCATCGATGAGGCGGGTTTGTTCGAGAGGGATCATAAGCTGAACAACGATGAATTGGAACTTCCAAAGGAGGACCTCATTGAGGCTACGAAGCGGGCTGTGGATCTGGCGAACACCGATTTTCACAAGAAGATGTACTCATAGGTAGTCATAGCTTTAGTAGCGCCACGCCAATATATGTTTCGCCCATAGCGTTTGAAGTTATGTCGTTTGGAAGGCTTTGAGGTTTTCTGTCATCTTCTTACTACCACGATTCGCATCAGTCGAACACAATAGCAGCTTTAACAACCTCCTGTTTCCTCACCGCATCCAGACACTCCTTCCATTGCTCGATTCTATACGTCTTGTTCGCAATGCCGCCCAACTTTAACCTTCCAGCATTCACATACTCCAAGACATGCGGTATGTGACTCATACTGCAGAAGCTGGCCAGAATCGTGATCTCATTCTCCCAGATCCGGAAGGGCGACCATGCGATCTTCACGCTCTCGTCATAGACGCCGTATACGACTAGCTTGCCGCCTTTTCGTACGTACTCGATGGCCTTTTCGAGAACAGTGGGTGCGCCAGTGGCCTCCACGACGATGTCGAAGCCGTAGGGATTGTCGGTCGAGAGCGCGGCCATGTCATCTCCAGGATTATCGTCAGATATCGTGATGTAAGAATCAGCGATGTTGAGTTCGCGCGCGAGATCGAGTTTCGGGCCGCCTTTTGAGGCGATGGTCAACTAGGTCGCGTTAGTAGTTGCGCGTAAATTTTGGATGCGCTGCATACATGAGCAGCGCCATTCATCTTGATCAATTGAGCTAACAATATGCCCGTCGGGCCGCATCCGAAAAGCAGTACCCTGCTTCCGACCTCCATCTGCATTCTCTCAATACCATGTGTTGCGCATGCGGCGGGTTCGAGCAAGACGGCCTCTAGATCCGGAAGGTTTCCAATAGGGTAGACCATACGAGCTGGGTATCTGCAGTACTCTGCGAAACCACCCGGAACATTACCGCCATACCCGATGACGTTCTCACAGAGTTGGGTCTTTCTGCGCGTGCAGTAGAAACAGTTCAGACATGGTTGTAAGGCATCGGCTGCTACACGGTCACCAACCGCGACGTTATTAACGTTCTTGCCGATAGCGGCGACGGTGCCTGCTGCTTCGTGGCCTAGGGAGGTGAGTGAGGTGTGTGGAGAAGTGAACGGTCGCTCGTACCGGGTATCAAAGGATACTCCAAGAACGTCAGCTTTGCCCAATACATAATTTTCCAATGATCTCACCTTTGCTAGAAACTCGCCTTTGCTGCAGATGTGAACATGCCGAGTCAGTGCATACGTCGCAAGCTTTTCGCATCCGAAGCTTACTGGTAATGCAAATCCTTCAAGATGGTCAGTATGATGTACTCCCCAAAGTCTTTCTCCTCTTCTTCTACTTACTGTTCCGCATACACCGCAGGCTGAGATCTTGACCTTCCGTGTGTTAGCGCAGCAAATACCGCAGGGTGATGAATAGTGTGTCGTACAAGAACATCATCATCACCGATTGTTGGAACATCGATGGTCTCGACTGCGAATCTCTCGGGGCCAGAGTATCTTGATTATCTCAGCAATCAGATATCGTATGTTTCGCGCCGAGCATGCCTACTGTAATGCTTTCATCTTGGCAGGCACATCGAAGCGTTGACGCTTGCTCGGTTCTGCATGGCCGTTCATGATGGAAATATATCAGAAGATGGATTCCGTTCACTACTCTGAAAGGACATCGTAACCTATCACTGCTTATAAGCAATTCCAATTGCTTGTTGAGTTGTCTCGACGCGAGCGCTGGCTAGACGCGTGTGTGTACACGGTAATGCGGGGTTCGGCAAACCTTCCCTAGAAGTACACACCACGGACTACTGCATCGGGAAAAGTTAAGAACGACTACACATTATGCTTGCTCGGGCATCTAACTTTCGTCGTGAGAATTGCATTCCTTGCTGATCGATGATTTCGCGTTAATTGCGAGTGTTTAAAACTCAAGACGATGGCACTACAAAGTATGCGTCACACTCCCGCCGCCTTTGTTACTGGCTTGTAGGGCTGGGACAGTGCGCCCGCAAGTTTCTCATGAATGATGTGACCGCAGCCACAATTGCGAAGCAGGAAAGGTGGTATTCAGTAGAGCGCAGTATCATTCAGTGGAAAATGACACAAGAATACATTCCACATCTTCAAGATGGCGCGCGGACGCTGAATCCACTTGGTGACAATCGTGATCTTTCGCTGCCAGCATGTTTGTTTATTCATCAAACAACCATTAGACTGGACATTCTAGCACCGGAGAGAAAGGGGTTAGTACTCATCCGAATCCCGATGGATGGAACAGGAGGGTAAATTCATCTCTCCTCCTCTTTCTCTTACCTCGCTGATATTTCAGGTCACTGGTGCATTCTCCAGCATCGGCGTCAACGCTGACGCGGGTCTGGTTTACTTCATAAATAGAAAAAGCGATCGCGAATCTGCGAAAGTCTCGTGGCGACCAAACGCACCACGATCGAGAAACCTACCGGTTTTGCGAAGTAACGATGACTTTGCATGGGGCTTCTGGAATCGATTGCCTCACGATACTCCAATCAAAGGTTTTTTTGGAGTCTGAGTGTCGACAATGAGCAGACAATGGGCATTCTGAACCTCGCCATCAAGACCCATAGGCCGCCACCGTGGCACACGAAAGTGGACAGTATCCAGGAATGGACAGGAACTGACTTCGACATCATCTCGGTCGAAGCCGTCGCTATCTTGGGTATGTCCAGTGTGTTCGGCATGAAAGCTATTGCCACACCCCTGTTATTGATGGGGAAATCTGTAGGTTCATAGCGCTGGCAGACTACACTACAGGTTCTCCGAGCGGTGTAGCAGTCGGCTTCTTCCCTGCCCAGCACAAACAGCAACGAGGAGGTGACAAGATGATCTCCAAGATCACAGTCTTCAAAGCGCGGCAACCCGTTACGGATGACGATTATCCGACCCTGATCTTTTGGGTGAGAGATGCACCCAATCTTTATGGAGAGGTCGGTGGCGCGCGACTGGCGGACGTCTCGAATGTGGGTTCAATCGGCGTTGTTGAGGATTGGAGGAGAAGAAGGTACTGAGAAGGGGCGTGGATGGACGGAGTTTGCTTAGAGAGCATGTGATTCGTGTATGACTGTAAATGTAAGCGGTGTCATAGCAGAAGTCCAACAGCGCAGAGACGCGGATCGGAGATGAAGCGGCGAAAGGGTCGACGAAGGGTGGGATAGGCTGTAGTCAAAGGCTGTTCGCATGCACATGTGCGTGATTAGCTAGGTACAGAATGGAATCTATCTCGACAAGATACCGTGCACATAAAGCATCTTCTGATGAGTGTATGGAAGCTGTTGACAGTGTTGCGTCGACGCGTGTTGCATTAACCGCTCGGCTTACCTGCCCCGACATTTCCCGCTGACTAATCTGTCATTCTAAGGACCTGTTTAGTGATCGCGGTAGAATGCGCAGTAAAATAGTTATATAATAAAGCCTTTAGCTATAATTAGTAAGTATTATATTACTTATATAATATTATATAAGCTTTTTTAAATATAAATTTAAAAATTTTATAATATTATACTACTACTTAAAAAGTAATATTATACTACTACTTAAAAAGTAATATTATACTACTACTTAAAAAGTTATATTATACTACTATATAAAAGGTAGCGTTATATAACTAGTATTATATTAAGTTTTTTATATTATACTACTAGATATCTCTTTTTAAGTATTATACTACTAGCTAGCTAGCGCTCTTCTTAGCTATTATACTACTAGCTAGTAAGTAGTACTTTTCTTAGCTATTATACTACTAGCTAGTAAGTAGCGCTCTTCTTAGATATTATACTACTAGCTAGCTAGTACTCTTCTTAGATATTATACTACTAGCTAGCTAGCTAGCTAGCGCTCTTTTTAGATATTATACTACTAGCTAGCTAGTAGCGCTTTTCTTAGGTATTATACTACTAGCTAGCTAGTAGCGCTCTTCTTAGGTATTATACTACTAGCTAGCTAGTAGCTCTTCTTAGATATTATACTATTAGTGCTCTTTTATATTATACTACTAGCTAGCTAGCGCTTTTCTTAGGTATTATACTACTAGCTAGCTAGTACTCTTCTTAGATATTATACTACTAGCGCTCTTCTATATTATACTACTAGCTAGCTAGCGCTTTTCTTAGGTATTATACTACTAGCTAGCTAGTACTCTTCTTAGATATTATACTACTAGCTAGCTAGTACTTTTCTTAGATATTATACTACTAGCGCTCTTTTATATTATACTTATTAGAGCTAAAAATAATAAATAATTAGAGATAATTAAGTATATTATAATTATTCTACTTTTAAAGAAAGTTAGAATAAAATCTCTAGCTATATACTTAAGAGCTAAGTAATTATATATCTATAATTAAATAATTATAACTATTCTCTAATTTTAATATACTCTCTAAAGTAGTAAAAGTATTAATTTACTTTACTAAAATTAATTTTATTAAATTTACTATAATTAGTTTACTTTAGTAGAGTTTAGGCTTAAGAATTTAAAGCGTAGTAGTAAGTTATAGTCTAATTAAGTATTTAATTATACTTAATACTAATAGTAGTAAGCTTTTACTTATTTAAATAAGGTTTAATAGTCTAAGAATTAACTTTATTAGTTTAGAAATTACTTTATAATAGCTTAGAATTTAGCTAATAGCTATAAAAATCTAGATATTTAACTAGTAAGAGATAATCTTAATAGTAAAATCTAGACTTCTAGTCTTTTTTAAGTAAGATTTATAGTATAATTAAAAGCTTAATAAGCTAAGCTAGCTACTTATATAAATATATACTTAAGCTAAAATTAAAAACTTTATAATAATAAGTTCTTTAATTCTTCTTTTCTTTACTATAATTATCTACTTTTATATTATTAAGATACTTAAGCTAACTAGCTAATAAGCTACTTATTTTATTAACTCTTTTACTTAAAATTTTTAGCTTTTAAGTTTTAGTGCTTTTAAGTTTTATACTTAATTCTCTACTCTACTTAATATACTACTTTACTTACTTCTTTATTCTCTTTATTACTATAGTAAGTTTTTACTTTTATACCTAAATTAATAGCTAACTATTATAATTTAGTCTAATAATCTAACTTCTAACTTTAACTCTAGCTATAAGTATTAGCGCTTTAGCTTCTACTATAATAGTATTCTATACTTTAATTATAATACTTTTAGTAGTAGTAATTATAATATATAAGCTAGTACTTAGCGTAATAGTACTTAGCGTAATAGCGCTTTACTTAATAATACTTTATAGTTAAGCGCTTAATCTTTTTACTATACTTAACTTAAAAATACTATTACTTAAATTCTACTTTTCTTTTCTAGAATAATAGTAGCTAATAGTCTATTCTCTAGTAGCTTTACTTAAAGTAATTAAGCTTCTAATACTTAACTATTTTAAAGCTTTATAAATTTTAATAATTAACTAAATTAAAGCTTTAAAGTAACTAGTAACTTTAGTAATAATAACTTTTATAAGAATTATAAGTAATTAAAGTTATACACTAAGTATACTTACTTAGATTATAAAAGCTTTTAGTTTAATAATCTTAATAATAAAAATATCTAAAAGACTATTAAGCTTATTTCTAAAAGTAGTATCTTTATTACTAATAATACTTTCTAAACTTAAAATTTAGACTTTTAGTAATCTAACTATATTAAAAACTAAAGCGCTTAAAATTAAGAAAAGTAAGCGTCTTTAAGTAATAGTTATAGTTATAGTTACTTTTATAAAAAGTTTAAAAGTAAAGCTTTTATATCTAAAACTTTTTTAAATTATTTATATTTAGTATATACTAGTTATCTACGTAAATAAGTTAGAGTATTACTTAACTATAACGCTTCTTAACTTCTAGAGTATAAGCGTTATATTTATTAGTAGCTTTTTAATAATATTCTAGAAGCTAATTATTTTAAGCGTTTTTATTAAGTTATATATTATTTATTTTATAATTCTTATAATTACTATCTTACTAATTAAAATCTATATAATTACTATATAAGTATAGCTAATTACTATAGTTCTAAAGTAAGTTTATAATTTTTTTCTCTTTAGCTTTTTTAATTCTTTACTAACTTAATAATAGCGCTAAAGTACTAAGAATACTATTAAGTATTATAAGTAGCTTTACTAAAATTTCTATACTTATAAAAAGTAGAAAAAAGAAGCTAAAAGTAGTTCTAAGACTTTAGCTAAATTATTAAATAAAACTTCTAAGTTCTTAGATAAAAAGAGCTTAAAAAGTACTATACCTATAACTCTTTAAAACTCTAATTAATATAGTACTTATAGTAAGTTTATAATACTAAGTAAGAGAATAAGAAAGATTAATATAAATAGTAGCTAGATAGCTCTATTTATACTTTTTACTTAGAGTTATCTATTTATAGCCTTTAATCTAATACTATAATACTTAGAATACTATTATTAGAGCTTATTCTAGTAGCTACTACTACTAACTTTCTAGCTATAGACTTCTTAATTTAAAAATTAGCTACTATAGAATTAGTAGTAAAATTAGTATAGTTATTATTAGTTTTAGTAGTATAACTACTAGTCTTAGTAGTGTAATTATTAGTCTTAGCTATATAATAATTATT